ATTAGCTCAAATTAGCTCTGCTTTTGCTAATCCCTTCAATTTAGGCCAGTGTTCCCACCAAAAAAAAAAAAATAGTTTTCCACCAGATTCTCAAAGGCAATTGACTCTCCTTGCACTGCATGACCATTGATCTGGTGCAAGAGAGGCAGTGCCAGTGTTTGAGTAAGTATCACTGGGGAAAGAGCAGAATCGGTCCTTCTCACGGATGGCACATTGTTATTCTGGATTAGGCATACTATGAAATTGCACCTACAAAGCCGCTCTGGAAACTCTTTTCCACTGAACTGTGGAGAACTTCAGAATTGAGGGAAAATGTTGCAAGATGACTAGCAATCAAGTTAGTAGGTATGCAGAGTTGGCAACTAAGTTCTTTTAATTTAACCTTTAGCTTACCACTGCTGATGAGCAAACTGACACAGATATATCTACGGATACGTTAGTATTGCAAAGGTTGACTATATGACAGACGCTGGGCTCTGAGCAACAGCAATAGCTTAGCTCAGATGTCAGCAGCAACACCAGAAAGCCCGAAGTCTGATGATACACGGCCTTTGGCAGCAATACCGCCTTAAGGTATTTTTAATGATCTTCCTCTCCTTCCTGCCTATCCTGTTCCCTTGACAGTCATATGACTTCTATCAACAGAACTGTTTGTAAGGCCACACTATAAGCCAGGCTCAGGGAACTAAACAGGCATTAAAGAAAAATTCCATTAAAAAATTGTTGTTGGGCAGTTTAATCTGGATTGGTTTCCTGATTCAGTTCACAAACATCCACATAAACAGCTGTTCTGGCACAGCTGAAAGGATGTCATGAACAAGCAGCTGGCAGTAGAGGTGGGTCCTAGGAATGCTTTAAAATGGGCTACTGCTGAAAAAAAAAAGTGCACGGAACAATACCTTTACTGTGTCCGTCCTGGCACTGTATGCCTGCGTGTTGGCTAGTTCCAGGGACATGGTTCACGATTTCATATACTGCAGTTAGTTGAGGCACTGCTAATTCTTCCCCAGCGTTCGTGAGGGAACTTGCTTGCCCTTCTAGAGGGACTCTAGAAACAACAGAGTGTTTTAGCACCTGAATGAGGTACTATGATTCTCATCGCAAATCACCAGCCTAAGGGAAAACAAAATTAAAGGATCACATTTGGGTACCTTGACCTATCTACAGCAAAAGACACTCCCCAGCTCAGTTCCTAAGTTGCAGCTGTGTTAAGACCATGTCCAAAGCACTGCACAAAATTCACCCAGGCTGTAAGACCAGAAGACTTCCTCAAGTACCTCTGTGATGTCTTGATTCCCTTCCCTTTATGCTCCTCTAACATCAGAGTCGAAGACTATGAAGAAGGGACAAAATGAATTCCTAAAAGGGCCCCCTCTTAGAACAGATACGAGGATAGACAGGTAAGATTGTAGGATAGATAGAAGAGATACTGGGGAAAAACAATCATAATGAGGGTAGTCAAACACTAGAGCAGGTCGCCCTAGAAGCTGTGGACTCTCTACCCGTGGAGATACTCAGACCTCAACAGATGAAGCCCTGAGCAACTTGATCTCAACTAGCACTGCTCTGAGCTGAGGTTGAACCAGGTGACCTCCAGGATTCCTTCAGACTAAATTATTCTATGACTCTGTGACCAAGCAGCGCCATGTCCATGACCGCGACACAGGCTGTGAGTATAAAAGGCTATGTGGTTTAAACTGGGTCGGTAATGCTCAGGATAGCCCCAAACAGCAGTAAAAACAAACGTCCTATCTATCCTTTTATTACTTACCCATTTCCCCCAGCCCTTTTTTCTTTCACTCTCCTCTTTCCCCTTTCGTAAAGTTTTTCATAAGGTCACCAGAAATTTCTTTTGCTACTTTCAGGAAATGTCCATAGCCCTGATATTGTTAGTAGTTGGGGCAGTGGGGAAAGCAGGGGCTTGTTTGCTGCATAAGGCATGTTCTCACTTTAAAACACTGTTCACATAAATAAAGAGCGACATAAAGCCTGAGATAGGGAAACCAAGGTCTTTACTAAGAGCAAATCAGGAATTATTTAGCAGGCAGAGGTCTGACAAGGCCTGAATTTGTGTTGCCAAAAAGCAAAGAAAAATTTTCTTATTTACAAGACCATTGTTATATTCATGTTCTAGAAGGCTGGAAGGCCATAAAGACACATTTAGGAATTCAGAAGAAGGCGGCTCTGCATTGCAGTATTAGACCCTTTCTAAAGCATTGTTTCTGAAGTTTCTTTTTCTATCATCTGTCAGTAAATCCTAAATTAGGTGTGCCATTATCATTGTTGTGCAATGAGATTTAGGCACAATGGGAGTTAACAGTATAACAATTGTAACAATTATACATAATTATAAATGATGTGTAAAATGTGCCTGAGCATTTTGCCTTACTGGTGCAATGTAAGCTTTTTTAAACAAGATTTATATGTAAAAAAGTGTTTTTACTGATAAAAAAATGCATTGGTAAGGTTTTACAAATATTACTAGGTAATGATGAATTATTTCTTGTGTGATCAAAATACTCTTACTTACATGTTTTGATGATAGGGTATGTTCTCTGGAGGCTGCTATGATTGGCACAGGAGCATACAGAACAGTGGCTAGCTCACTGGAGCACCACCAGCAAATGAGCTGACTCTCACAGGCCACCATTTGAAGCCACCGCATTTTTAAACGCATGTTAAGAACAGGGGCAGTTGCACAGAGGGTTGAAGAGGGAACTTTGAATGAAAGAAGGGAAAATGGTCATGGCTAGCTGGCTAGCTGCTCTCAGAAACAAATTGTTATTTGCAACACGTAAGCATGACTAACTTAAATAGACAGGAAGCAGCATTCATAAAAACTAACCCACATCTCAAAGTCAACAGCACCAATTCCAAGAATAAAAATAAACATTGTGTATACAAAACATCATGTTACACCAGCAAGTTATAATTATGTGAAGTGCAATGGTTCTTAATAGACTCTTCTACAGTGCAGCTTACAGCCACAGTATTTGATGGACACAAGATGCTGGGAGGGAGGTAAGAAAGGAGGAGGAGGAATGCGAGACTACGTCCATCTCAGAGAGATCAGGTTTCTGTGTACTGAAGAGCTTTTGGAGACATGGTTATACAAGCATTCCTCAGTCAAACCACAGTTAGCATCGTCTTCCGTATCGTCTGTTTCCAAAATGAAGAGCAAGTTGACAATGTCCTTCAAAAATGTCCTACTCAGTTTCAGTTCTGCTGGAAGACCAGCACTTGTCAATTCTCTTCTTTTTGGATATCTTCATGCCTTGTGCTTTAACGTGATGCCATAGGGTGGCCTGCTTGTGATCCTGATGGTAACTAATCAATTCCTAATTCTCTCAACATGTTTCAGTGTTTGAATTCTAGACTTTCCTGTACTTTTGCCTCTTCCACAGAGCAAAAAGACTTAGAATCTCAACACAACAATTGCAGGAACCACAAAGGAGAGTTAGAGCAAAATGCTGACTCCTAGAACATGCATACAAAGAGGTAGCAAACCTGGCTGCAAAATAGCATTTTAACATTTAATCCAATCACTGTGATCTCAGAGCAGCAAACAAAACCAGGTGGCTGAGGCAAGTGTGGAAGCTATGTGGAGGGCGGCTGGGGGACTAACAAAAATCATTCCTATGTAGGTACAGTTACATGAATATTGTAATGAAGTAATTTAGTAAAAGATGAAATGACTGAAAATCTTAATAGTTAAAGTATTACACTAATGTAATTAGTAACCGTGCTGTTACTTCATAAGAAATTGCTTCATGAGAGACTGCAAACACACTTTTTCTTCCCACCTGGTTTCCTGCAAATTAGTAAGCCCCATGATTCAAGGAAATCTGACCTTTCTTTTGGGTATGTGGGCCAAAAGTACTCAGCAGTTTTCAGCAGTTTCTTTGTTTCAGGATTTGTGAAATTGCCTGAGTCTCCTGAGTCTCTGAGCATCCAAAAGAGCCTGTCTAGGAGAATGCCTCTGTCTAGGAGAATGTCTGCTGCTGGGTAGCTGGACCCATCCAGTCCCAGGTGGACTGTACTCACTGGATGACTGTTGCTCCCCTTGGTGGTTGAAATCATATACACATATTACATTTTGGAATAAGTATCTACATATTGCAGCAAATAGCTATGTATCATCACAGCTTAACTTAGTATATTTTATCAAATTTCTCTTGTAAATATTTTATATTGCTGGGCTTTTCCAAGCATCATTTTTCACCATATTCCATCCAAAAGCATGTTTTAAGTTATCTTCTCTTCTTCTATACAGGTAGTACTTGTATATAGGACAACGGGACTGCAGTTAAAATTGCACCGCTAGTACAGATTACATCTGGACAGTCATGAGCCCAACCTTGTGTCTAGAGTACATGATGTGAGTGCTTTGTATGGACTGAATAGTGGTACGCTGCCAAGAGTCTAAGTTATTCCTCCACAGAAAAGTGTATTGAAAACAGCAGTCTCTCAGTACAACGTGGTCCCACTCCAAAGACAAACATAAGCTTTGAAGAGGTGGTAGCAGTAGCGTAAATAATAGCATGAGAATCCTGAAAGGTGCTTCAGCCCTGCCTAGGATGATTCTGGAAAGTTTACTGAAATGTATCAAAAGAAACGGAATGGCCCTTTAACTTCTAATCCTCCCAAAGTGCTATCTTACTAGAATTACAGCTCCACAAACTAAGATCTGAATAACAGGAATTATTGCTGAATTTGAGGTGTGCAATGTTTACATGAGACAGACATGATATTCATTGACAATTCCACTTTTTAGGGCTCTTGCACCTGTAAAAGTTTTATTAGCATAACTGTCAGTTAAGAGAACATTTTTATTGATGTTGTTATACCAGCACATGCTTGGCAGAGATGTTATACCAGTATAAGCTGACTTCTTACACTCCTCAGAACACACTACATTTTTCAGAAGTATTTCTGCATTCGTAGGACTGCAGCTACTTTAGAATATCTTTTTCTACTTTTAACTCGTTCCCTTGGATGGAGGTAGAGGTATGCTCTTACCTTCGATCTGTCATGAACAATCCTTCCTTCAGTTTATTCCATACTGCCATCCCCTTTTGCCAGGTCTACTGTAAGTTCCCAGCTCCATTTGCTTTGACACACTGTGTAGTTTGGAAAGAAAGTTTTTCAGTGGCAGCACCAGTTTTCACAATCCTTGCTAGTTTTCACTTACAATAGTTCCATGGGCAGACCCTCTATGTACTCATACAAACTGTTGTTCTGGCACAGTAGAGACTGCAGTGCAGGAGCAGAAATGAGTAGCTAGGGTTGCTTAGACTGGGTTAAGCGGCACCGCCGTTGAATGTTTAATAACAGAATCAGTGACAATCCCTGGCCAAAGACAAGCACTACTGCAGTAAAATCATAAATTCTAATGGAACTAAATGATAATTAACAAAATTCAAACAAAATCTTAAAAAACCTCAGGAAATCATATATCACAGCTAGTAGCACTGTATACACCTACTAATGGATTTGACCCTTAGACTTGAGAGGAAATCTCAAAAATCACCTGGTTCACACTGTAATATTGTTTACTGTCTTCACCTCTAGTAACTAGTGACATGACAATTCATCTTCAGAATGAAATCTTCAGAATGCAGGATCCATAATACGGCACAGCAGATGCATACTTAGAAGAAGGCTCATGGAGGGAAACACAAAATCAAATCCTCTGTCTTTCATAATATGGACCTGAACCCAACCCCATAATTTCAAGAATTACGTTCCTAATTATCATTGTGACTTTTTTTTTCCCATCTCATTATTTAGTTATACACGAGCACATTTGGGATTTCTACACAAATCATATTCTGAAGAATTTCTGTATTTGCCTAAGGTGTAAAAGGCAATTTGAATTTGTGACTCTCCCCTTCTTTCCCTCTGAGGAAAAATTGTCAGTCTGTTTACAGCTAATCAGATATAGACATGTTCCGACTGGAAAAAGATTTGTCTAAGGACTGTGTAGGGTTTACCACATATTAAGGTGGTAGACTATCATTCCGTGAGATAGGAAACCCCTTCAAGAAATAATTTTGTCCCAGGAGAGTTCATATCAGATGAGATATTGTCTGTTGTACTATTCCAATTTTACGCTGGATCAGGTATAATTTATCCTCCCTCAACTGACAGAAAGCTGGCATCAAGTCGGAATAAACATTGTAACATATGCTCTGGCTAATTTGATAAAAATGCAGTCGTGTGCTCATGCCAGTACAGATCGAATTTTTACTGCCAGGGAATCCAGCAAAGCACAGATTTGATATTATTGAATGCAGAACCATAGCCCTGTACGGCTCAATTTTTTCCGCATATTAAGTGATTTTTAATTTACTTTATTATGTGCATGAACAAAGAGCACAGGTTTGAAATCTCCCTGCCAAATACTTGTGTGAAGTGAGCCTACCATAGTATAATGACTCTCCAAATTGGGACAAACACAATCTCCATACACCATGAATTCCTCTTTCTCACACTGTTGCTAATAATGGCATGTATGATTCACACTTTTGTGGTCTACAACAGAGATGACTTTACTCAAGGTAAAAGAGGCAGTAACACCTTTCAAAGGTGAGGGACTGGCAGTATCTCTGCACAGCTGGAGACACACTCATGTGCAAAGTAGACATTCTCGTATTATATTTCACCTCTTTGCAGCCACTAACAGCACTGGAACAGAGAAAATCAGGTTACTCTGATTTTCAGCAGCACCAGCTTTGTGTTTGAATTTCTTTCAGTGCACTTTGCACTGTCTGCATAACCAGGGATTCAGCCCAAATTCTTACTAGAAGTACATGTATCACTGCTGTTATCGTTGCAGGAAAAATTTAGTCTCTAAAGACCACCGCTGCAAGAGTGCATTGAAAACAGGCATTAGCAGCAAACTCCCCAAATTCCTACTTGTGTTACAGATAAGCTCTCTCGTTCTGATTCTCTACAGGACGTTTCCGTTTAATGCCTTCCAGCTTCCAATTCTCACAAAACCGATTTTTGTATTATAATATTGCATTGCTTCCTTGGAGGATGGATTTCCCATTTAGTTTCAGCCTCATCCTGATCATTATTCAAATAGAAATGGAAGGAGATTGGGGTGAAAAGAGATAAAATATGGATGCATACACACTGAGTCTGATTTTCCAGTGTCTTATGTTTTATTTAGTCATATGCACCTCTGCTAGGTGAGTAGGAAACACAGGTCAAGGGCTGCTACTCTGATTTGTCAGTATTATACACTCACTTTCAACAGGTTTTAATAATGAAAGATTTGCAAGGTATTCCAGTCTACCTCACTTATTGCTATAACATCTGAAAATTTTCCAGGAATGTATTACGGCAAGTACAGATTTAACAGGAAGGTGAGCTTTGAAAGACTTCAGTCCCTTCCCACTCTCCCTCCCTCCCCGTCCTAGCACAGCCTCGCCTGGCAGGCATAATCCTGCCCATATGGTACAGTAGCAACCCTCTGACTGAGCAGCTCTGCCACTGTCAGTGTTGTTGCACCTGACCTCTGACTGAATAATGTCACCATGAACCACAACAGGTTTGGTGGTCTTTACCTCTAAGTCTCTTCCAAGGGGAGGGAGGCAAAACACGCGCAATGGAGCATTTACATAGCTGTATTTACACAGCATTTTATTTTCTTTTGTTTGCCGTTTTCTCTTTCTCTGGTAGAACGGAATAAAGATTAATGTCCTTCTATATAAATAAAATGAAAGATGAATTGAAATTAGAGAACTGGTTGATATCACCCCTTACGAGAATGTTCCCTATAAAATATAAAGGGTCAGGCTCACCTGTTCTAGAGACTTTCAGTGGCCCTTACATCTGCCTGTTTACCAGGTTTACAGCTGCTTTTACAAAGTGAAGTAGAAACTCTGAATTTAGCTTTAAATACTTTTACGCTGATGAGCAAGGTTAAGGAAATAGAGCCATAACACACAACTTACATTCTTCTTCTTTCTACTTGTCCTTTAATCATTAAATATTTTAATGTATTTATAATATGCAAAATAAATACATTCCTTTCATGCCACAGGATGTTGATTATTTCCAAAAGGATACAACTGTCTCTTCTCACATATGGCTTGTCTTCATAATCTAGCATAAGGAACATTCCTGAAAGGAAAGTTGGCTTTTAGAGATGCTTCCAGATTGTGCTGGTGGCCATATGCTCATAATTTACCCTCCCAAAAGACCGAGCGGCTGCATTAACCACAAGAAATGTAACTCTTTAATTTTTAATGACTTGAGGAAGTTGACTGCATCTATATCAAAAACACTACTAAACCATGGCAGGTGATGACAAGATATTGGACGCACTGGAACCTTATTTAGAACCATGACATTGCTTATAATGGGTTACAAGTTGCTAACATACTCTAGGAAACCTCATTTATCTTGTCCTGACATTACCTAAGAAACAAGTCCCAGAGAGTGTGGGGTCTTCACAGAAATATCAGCTATTTTCTTAGCCACTGCAGAACTGGAACATGAATTCAGAAGGCAGGATGACACCTCCTCTAACACTACAAATAGTTTAAGCAAATTTGTGTTATACTTCATTTTGCATACTACCTTTCTGTTTTCCAACTAAAAATGAAGATTTTGTTAGGATATGGATTCCGTAAACTTTTGCTGTCATTTGGCTTCAGCTGACTCACACCACTGGTAAACACCCATACCTCGGTACGGACCATGTCGCAAGAAATCAGGAAGACTAAAATTAGGGAAACTATATGTATTCAGATGCATTTAGATTAGGCCATTTTAGGGAGAAATTTACTGCTAATATATGGGGCATTTTTTGCTTACTGAAACGCTCCAGAACATGTCATGCACATACATTACAAGACTTTATAGAAGCCTGTTGTGCTTTATTGTTTAAACTCCTGGTGTGGAGTATCTATACATTTGTATGGCTGTACAGTACTAGATTAATTGTATGGATTGCATGGGATAAGGGTTGATTAATTTTTTGAATTAAACATCAATTTGAATGTTAATCTTAGTGTGTGCTTGTTTGTGAGTATGGGATGCCATTTTATTCGATCTTGTAGACTGCTTGCTTTGTTCTTCGTGAAAACTTTCTGGCATCACCACCAGTTCTCATTTCCTTATGACTAAGCGGACAATCAGTGCCTAAATAAACAAAAGTACTTAATCAACATTAGAAACATATACAAGGAGATGTTTAAGAACAGTACCATCAAACCTTCTGTTAAGTAGCCAAAAAAAAAAAAAGTTTTTAACTACCTAGTGCAGCTTGGAACAGCAAGTGCAAACTAAAGCTAAAGTGAAATCCGTGAAAACAGTCTATAAAAATGCATGCCCTGCTATCTTCTCTCTGCTGTGTCCTTTTATTTACCATTTCATGTGTTCAGTGCCATACTATATAAGCTGTTGCTCAGGGACCGCCTCATTAGTCTTCACACAATCTGTACCTGCACAAGAATTCTTGATGCTGAAAACTATTCACTACCTTTCTAACAACGACCTTGTTCCCTAATTTCTTCTTATGCTATTAAGTTGTTCTTATCCCTTGTTCCTGTTGTACCTGCAGTAAATCTTAGAATTTGGTGTTTCTCTTTTGCATCTCTACAGTGATGCCATTAGGAAGAAGATGCACTTGTTTGCATTCTGTAGCAATGGCTTCGCTCAGTCTCCTAACTGGCCTTTCCACACTGAGAGTGCCTGCAAAATAGGAGAAAGGGAATTCATTAATTATACACACTTTTAGGAATTAAAAAAAAATAATTCCCTTGCTTAGCTTCTTCGTGATGAAGGCCACAGCTCACAAATTTTAACATTTTGCTTATGCTGTCTTTCTAAGCAAGGAGATCGTATTCTATTCCAGAAGAGGAATTTCTTCAGCCAATGAAAAGGAGATTTTGAAGAGCCTCGTGACAATTCTCTGTATCACTGAATGTGAGTATTAGTTATATAAATGACCCAGCAAAGTTCACCTTATTAGACAGCCAAATTGACCAAAATTCTGGTAAGCATTACCTATTAGAAAAGGGCTGAGCTGACTGAGCTGCTGAAGTAATTGCTGTTATCTGTCAAGCAAAATCTGGCTACATTCTGTACCTTCCTCCCCTTTCCACATCAAAAAAAGGAAAAAGGGAGAGCAAAAATGGAAAAGTATGGACTTTGCTACAGAAGGCTTCAGCAATTTATCTCCTCGCTACGAACGTCTGCCAAAGAGCTGAGGCGGCATGTGTGCACAGTTTCCATCACAAAAAAAAAAGACTCACAAGGACAAACGGACTTGTGGTGACTTTTAACGTTGACGCATTTTGTCCAATGAAGAGGACGCTTTTGGTACTACTCATTGGTAGTCTAAGTTATGGCCTAACTTTATTTCAGTTTCCTACTGCGTATAAATGAAGTAGCTCCACAGATTATGACAACACATTACAGAAAAGGCATCTAATCTTATGAAATATCTGAAAGTCCTGTGATCATGTAAGCGCACTTAAAGCTACTAAGTCACTATTATGACACATTTAGTACTCGGTTGCATATTTACCATTTTTCCCCCTCAATAATCATGTGGACTTTGGGATGGAAGAAAGGCAATAAACTACTGCATAAGCTGCTTAAGTGGCTTTTGCCCTTAACAGAAGCTGATCTCTCCAGGGAAACCAACACAGTAACAGATCTGGTTTAAAAAAAATGTATACTGCCTTGAAACACTGGTTCATCCTAGGGTACCCATGATGTCCTTGCTGAAATCTCCTAGGACAACTAACAGAGCAGTTTCTGAAACGATGGTTCAGGCTCACTGTAAAACCAAGGCTCTACAGTTGCCCTAAGAGCCTCTGCGTGAAGTAGGCCCTCCTATTAGGAAAATGTGGCATTGGAAGGTAGAATATTCACTCCTGTGATGCCTGCTAGGTGCCCAGAGGAAGTGTGCAAAACTTAGGCACTGCTGGACCTCTGATTCATATCCCTTACCTTTTAATACAGCCATTTGCTCTTACTTCAGCCTTGTGACTTGGTTTTGTAAATGGTGAACTGAGCCAGTTGCCTTGAAAGTTAAGATTAACAGTGGATATTTCTTCTGCTGTGGCCAAAACTGAGGTATGTAGTCATTTCCCCCAGTATTTATCAAATGCAGGTGTGCTACTCTGATCTGCTACTAAATATTTACAGTACATCTTTGACTTGACAAAGTAGGGGTTATTTGGCTGTCAGTTCAAACAGCAGGCTGGACTAGTCCATAAGGATATTAGTGACTAAAGACTAAACAGAGTATACAAAGTCCCAAAGACTTAATGAAACAGAGGTCGAAAGACAGATGAGCAGGATGAAGAGATACAAGAATGGAGAACAGGAAGAACATCAGTAGTGGTCTGCTTCTGTTCGAGATCTTTAATATGCAGCTAGCAGTATTGTGCATCAACACAAACATTTGTAGAGAGCACAGCTGCTGAGGTAGATGCCTACAGATAATCTAGCAAAGCCGAACTTGATGGCTGTGCTCAACCAAGGAAATTACCACAGGGATTTTTAATGTAAGTGATATCATGCTATAGGACAGAACACCAGGACAAATGCATGAATATCTTATACAGATACTCCTAAGACAGAGTCAGAAGGCAAAAAAGTATCAACTGAAATTGAGCTAAATCAGTATTAGTTTTAAAACTAACTGAAGTGTCCATGTTAGTGGCATTTCTCATAAAAAGAAATACCAGCTCTTTAAAACCGACCCCAGATTACTCATATGATTAATTTTGTGAAATTAAAGCCAGTGGACAAGCTCTCATTGACTTTACAGGATTTAAACTATATCATTGCACTGACAAACATAATAGGGTTACTTAAGCACTTGGTTTGCCAGTGTTGACAGTGTTCTAGTAAAACACAGAAAACAATCCTGCCCACTGCGGGAAAGGTCATACCTGTACGGTCAAGAACTGAGTTAGGAATATGGAAACACTAAAATTATTTGCAGTTATGCTAAGCAGCTCAATTGATTCTCTGACTGTAATTCTACATGTTACATACATTATTTCATTATCTATAGGTGCCACTCACTACTAAAATACTCAACAAGTAAGTCATGCTTGAGTAGGAGGGATTGCAGCTGTGAGATGAAGGGAAGGCCTCGTAAGGCAAGAATACCTGTGCAGTCAGCCTGAGCTCAAGAACTGCAACGTGCCAGCAAATAGTCTACTTCTCACTGCTCTAGGTAGGTCTCACCCCCAGTCTCCTTGTTATACCCTTGTGCCTGAGCAACATGCTTTTTTCCCTCTTCTCTGTGTTCCCTTATGGAGACCTGATGAAGAATCTTTTTCTGCAGCTCTTCTGTAGTGTCTGTGTTTTCTGCAGATATATACCACAATACTATAAAGTGACCTAATCTAATGATAGGCCCAGGCATTCAGTATTTGTCCTGTAATTATCTACAGTCAAATATGAAAATGTAACTACTTAGTGTAGGAGTGTGCCCTATTATATTGAAGATCTATCCACCTGCTTACAGATGGCTATGCCCAAAGGCCTGCCTATGTACTTTCTCTGCTGTTTCACTTCAGCCTAATTATTGCAGTTCTGAAGTTACCACTTGAAAACACAGCTGCATGCATACAGTTGGAAATATCCCATACCAGGTGACGTCTTAAAAACCTGTATTTGCAAATGAAATGATTTCATATATTTTATTGAAAATGTATCTCCAGTACGTAAGTCAATAACTTACTAGACCACATTTTGAATAATATATGCCAGAGCCACAGCGGGACCAAGAGCTGGGAGCCAGAGGAACTTGAGAGACCCATCTTTAAAATAGAGCAGCTCCCAGCTCCCATTTCCAAGAGGCAAGGCACCACCGGTCAGTCAGCTGGTCAACACTTCACTGGTGCCCACAGGTTTCTACTGGTTCCAGTCCGGTCTTTTGAGATTTTTCTGTGAAATATACCATTAGACAAAGATTATAACTTATCATCAGAATCAAACCATTTTTGCTAGAGATTAACCTGTTCTATTTTCTGTGATATTATGACTAGGCTCTTCAGACATCACACCTTTTACAAAGACTAAAACATATTAGTAAGTTTTTCACTAATGACATGAATTTTCCTACGCGGCTATTCATATTATGGTTTTGAATTTTTGAAAGAACTTTCTGAAAAACTTGTATGTGTTTAGTATCACTTCATTAATAGATCCTGGCAAGTGATATTATAAAATTTAAAAAAGGTTACATGTAATACCTATGTAATACGATATATCTGAAACAATGTTAAGGAACAAAAGCAGATGCTATGTTAAGAAAATATGTCAAGCACTGCCTTGAGCTCAAAAATAAGCATTTTCAAGCTGTACTAGCTTAAAACAGACTCTTAAGTGTGTATCCCATACATTAAGCTGGGTTTAAAAACGTCCAAAATCAATGGACCTAATTCAATGTTACATTATTCCAAATTTACCGAGACATCCCCACATTCCTTCACACACAGCTCATCTCCTAATCTGTCTTGCATATAGCCCATCTAGGCGTGATAAGACCTATTACTTCAGCTTCAAAATTAATGGGAAATAAACTTCAGTCACTATATGGGCTTATATCAGAGTTCAGTTTTGGTTTGTAAAGTTAGCGTCCGACTGTGCTTTTCGCTGAGTTCAGTCTTCTTTCTAGAGACTGTAATAAGCAGTATCTACAAAGCAAAAAAGCTGAACGTAAGCCTGAGTTGAGGCATTCCTCTCCTAATGGAAAAGTTGTCCAGAAGTTCTATTATCTACTTGTTTCTAAAAGAAAAGTGTTAGGGAATTATTTCATATGTTTAACAAACAAAACAGGTGGCAACTGATTTATCTGTGAAATTCTTAAAGGGAAGTAATGAAACTGAGGACAAAGAGAAACACTAAGTAATAATACAGCTAACATTAAAATGCATAAAAGAGAAGGCTCTGTATTGAAGAAGAAATGTATACCGAGACTGAAAGACACTGAACATCTAAAGCCAGTGAGCAAATAACTTAAAAGTTAAAAAAATATTGTTTTTTCCTTGTTGCTAAAATAAATCATGTCAGATATGGCAGAGAGATTCCTATGGAAGTTAATAGTTATTAACCTCCAAGATGTGGAGTATAAACAGCAACAACAAATGAAACTGTATATGAATATAGAAGTAAGTTATTCCCTTTATAGGTATTCTTTAACCTCTGTTAGGTTAAAAAAAAAACCTATAAAATCAAATAATTGATCAAGAATAACAAAAGCTATGGAGCAATAACATAAGTAGTTAAAAACTTGGCAATATTCCTTCATATATATGATCATCATAGAGAGCTCAGTGAGCCCTGTATTTTCAGGCCTCTCTAAGTTTTTTATGGGAAACTGATATGCAAGTATTCCTACCTCGTTCGCTGTTCACTTCAAATCTGAACAAATGAATTAGCTGTGCATTAATTTCAGAAGTTGTAAAGGTACGTATGGTTTTTTCCACAGGTAATCCAGAACACCTGATTTTCTGTTCATTCCTCTATTCATATTGGCGCAATTACTCCACTCACAGATACAATTACATACTTTAGCAATACCCAGGCCCCTCAATCACGGATCAGGATCTATGATAGCTGCCTGTCCAATAGGGCAAAAGAGATTTGCTCCTACCAAAATAACAACCACGAAGTGCAC